TTTTTCCGAAATAATATGATCAAAGCTGTAGAGCAGCACGGTGTTTAACTGTAACTAAAAACAATTTAGAATTAGGAGGACCTAAGCGTGAAGAATGAAGCTCCCAGAACAGGACGGTCTGTCTACAGAGCCATAGACTTGTTCATTAAAACATCAAAGCAGTGTGGTTTCTAGAGGAGCATCCCTTTGAGAAATAACTTTTCCAATTAGGCCATGGAATAGCCGGAAAGACTGCAACCAGCTAAAGAAAGAGAAGAGAAACTGACAATTCCGTTTGACTGATAATGTTCGGCCATCCTGTACAATATTTTAGAGAATATCACATTATAGGAAATGCAATGAAAATCCTGTAGTTTTAATGATTCACCTCCGTCCTTGCAATCAAACAGAGTAGCAAGTAGATGCTGCAATTACTTATTCATGTGAAAACTATTATTCACTTCATTAGATCAATGTTTTCTTGTTCCAAGGTTTTCCTACGGTTTTGCTTTCCACTCTTCGCTCCTTGCTCACAGAGGAATAATTTGCCTGATCTTCTTAGGTTAATAAGATGTTCTCCTAAATCAGTCACAGCAAAGACATCCCTGGGCCCAGGGATGCACATGTATACTTGATCACATGCATGTATGGATACGAAGATAATGCAACTTCGGATTCTGATACTCAACCATTAGCCGAGCTGTTATAACAGTATATTTAACAGGACCCAGGGGAATGAGTAAGCTTGATGTTGAATGCAAACCAGCTTGTTGAAAAAATATGATCACTTCATATGACGTTACAAAGCAATAAAATTAAAAAGGAGGCCCCAAGGAGATATTTAATGTATATTCATAGAGTTTATCTAACAGAAGTTTGTACACTTACGAAGGTGGTAAATGGAAGATGCTATCAGAAAACTTGTAGGCCTAGTATATCCATCAGAATTATACAGAATATGAAATATACACTTGAGTGTAACTTGAGTGTATCTGTTAAAATTAGTTTGCAAAGAGCAACATCCACATTCTGCTTAAATGGTTCTATTCACATATAATTTTGAAAGGTGATATACATAGATTTTTATAACAACATAATTATACTCACATTTAATTAAAAATAAGTACATGTAAATAATACACAAATTTTAAATAGAGCACCATAAGGCTTACTTGTATTCAAAATGCATTACAGGACTGTAGGCCTCCTGCTCAGCTGGGACCTGCACAGGTCTTGTTAATAAGTGTATTCGTAAAACAAGGAAGACACGCAGTATTTATAAAATTAGATTCAATGAATGGATGGTGAGCGCCTGAACATTGTCTAAGCAGGTTAAAAAGTTCAAACTCACCTAGCCAACATGTTTTAACTTTACCATAATTCAGTCTTTCACAGAACTATTGGGATGACATGACATCATTCTTAGTCTTTATTAAAAAAAAAAAAAAGGAAGAAAAAGAAAAACATCTAATGTGTAGAGTTCTGTAGTTTTTGGTTTGTTTGGTTTTTTTTTTAATACCATGATTGTCCTGAGAATCAATGCAAAGACAATTTATGGGGAGTAAGGAACATTAAAGACACAATTACTATGCCAATTTGTTACATCAAATATTAACTAAAAAATATTACAGAGTTTGGATAGGAAATAAGAGGGGTTTAAAAGACATAAAAGATAAGGCTCTGATCCTCAAACAATTTTAATCTATATGAAGAAAAGAACCCTAAAAGAAACTTAAGTATACAAAAAAACTAGAAAACAAATCTCTAGTTCTCTGATAAGAGTGTTAAATGGTAGAATGTTAGTAGAAATAATAGTACTGAAAATACCCACAAGGGGAGAAGATGAACATTTCTAAGGCTGTGTTGCAAGCAGGTGCCACATGACAGACCTGCATCATGGTTTTAATGAGACAGGCTGAGATCACCTACAGTTCTGCTGTAGTTCTGTAGTTCTGACAGAGAAACATAAGAAAGACAAAAACCCAGTTTCATATATCAAATGACTTGCTTCTCAGTTAAAGTTAGGTCCTTAAAATCACATAAACATTGATTTCTGTATATCAGTTTGTTTCTTTTAGACAAGAAGAATCTCAACAAGACAGATGATGCAAAAACAACCCTTCTCCTTCATGTCCTTCCCTTCTGATGTGTTCCATGAGAAGCCTCATGCAGCACAGCAGGAGTGAGGTGGCAGGCGGGCTCATCTTAGCCTCAGTGGTCTCCTTTATGTAATTTTGCATCTTCCTATTCTTTAGGGTTCTTATAGACTAAGGAAAGGAATATAATCAATATTCCCATCTTTTACATTTTGCTAGAACCATGGCTTGTATATGAAACTTCATTTATTTAAACTCATATATTAGATAGATGTACTGAAGAATACATACTTCTGAACCTTAGGGAAATAAAGCTCTGTCTTTTCCCCACTCTCTACGTAAAGGATTACCCTGTGTTAATAAGAATAACAACAACAACAGCTGACATTTGTTGAAGGCTATCTATGTACTAGGTGCTACTTTAGCTGCTTTACCATATGTCGCCTCACTTAATTCTCATAACAACCCTATGAGACAGAGGTTAAGCACCTTGTTCAAGGTCACAAAGCTAGGAAGCAGTGGGTCCTGGCTGGGAGCCTGGGTAGTGTGCCTTTAGAGCTCTACATTTACAATATTATATTCACCCTTACTTTTTCGGTAGCATCATCACAACAATAACCTGCTTATCTGAAACTGCACACGGATCAAATTTCTCTCGACCTGGGACCAAACATGTATTTTTCTACTCTTATATCCATCATGTTTCCATAGACATTCGTATCAAATCGCACTTGAATTTGTAGATTTGAAGGGAGTGGCGTTCAATGGTTTTAAGTAAACTTTTAAGAAAATACCCAGAGGGAATCATGCAGCTAAGATCTGCATAAAATTTATAACATTCAAGCAGATGAGAATTAGGGACTATAAGACTTTAAAATTCATACTGGCAGGAAGTTGCAAGCAGTGATGATAAAAGAAAACAAAATGATGCAAATTTAAGTGGATTAAATAGACAGAAAAATCAGTGGGAGGGAAATCTTTAATCAAGCCAAAGGGCTGAAGACAATAGAGGCTGATGATGTGGAAATGGTTAATAGTTTTATATCTACTGAGATCAGCCCTATTCAGGTGATTTTTTTTTTCCAGTTCTTCTAGTTTTTGATAACTCACTCTGGTAAACCAAGAATATGCAGACTGATAGGACTGAGATGAATTCCACATGCAGAAAGAATTTTACTTAGAAAGGCTCAAAATTTGAGAGCTAGAAAGGAATTGGGGTATCATCCAACCCCATCAAGGAAAAAAGTGAGACCAAAAGAGGTTAATTAAGCTTACTCAAGGTCACTCTAAAGTTGATTAATGTAAGCTCAAGTAAGATAGTTACGTAGTGGCAAAGTCTGTAGTAATATAATTAAGTAAAAAAAAAAAACTAGTATTCCATAAAGGAAAGGACTGCAGAAAAAAAAATCTTTTAAAATATTGCCTCTAAGTCCTTTTGAAGATCAGTAGCAAAGAGATCATAAAAGATGGTAAATTATAATGATCATTAAAATACTTTCATAGAAAATCATTTCTTATTTATTTTCTAAACTCTGATGATCTCTGCATGTTCTCATTATGTCTGGAGATGAAACCAACCACAAACATGTTGAGAACCACAATTTCTCACACCTTGGACAAGACATAAACTATAAAACGTGGGCCATCGAAATTTAAAGTTTGTAAGTGCTGTTTTGATTCCTTCAAAAAGTACTTGGGGTTTTGAAAAGGGCATATGACAGGCAGACAGGAAGAAGACTAAACTATTTAAAAAGTAAAAAGAATGACATTTAAGATTAACAAAGCACACAGCCCAAGGAAAATTAAAACACAAACGTGTGAACAGTGTTAGGCAGCAGGGAACGCGATGCCCTGAGGGAGTCTGCCTGTGAGATCGTTGACTGCAGCAGAACGTCCAAGGTGAGGAGGAATGAAAGATTTGTCTGCCATGTGGGAAATAAAGAATAAGGAAATGAAAGAGCCAAAGACAGGAAGATGGACTTGGATGCGCATGGAAAAGGGAACCGCTGCAAATAAGTGACATGATGTAAACATTACTTGTGAGAGGCAGCAACACGATATTAAATAGATTACCGAAGTGAGGATCAAATACAGGAGAATGTCGAACGGGGGAAGCACTGCTTCAGCCTGGAGCTCCCTCTGTGAGGCAGCAAGTGACTGGCTTACAGTAAATGATGCAGAATTTGAGAATGATATTCTATTCCAAACATTCAACCAATTTGTAGGACAAACAATATTATTTCAGATTCCCCACTGTCTTTGATGGAAAAACCAATATTCAGAGGCTATATATATATATACACATATGTATATATGTGTATGTATGTGTGTGTGTATATATATATGTGTATATATATATGTGCATATATATGAATGAAACTCAGTTTTCCCATTATCAGTGTAGATAGTCTACTAATAATTACAATTTATCTCATCTCTTTTACTTAAACATTCACATTCTTTGACATAAACATACGGCTGCAAACAGATGGGTAAACTAGAATATACCATTAAAGGAAAATTCTGGCCAATCATATCTCACATTTTCCAGGTAAGACCTCAAGTCTTTACGTGCCTGCTTTAATAATCTTCTCAATTCATAGCCCTGAGTTACTTATTTTGTCTGCTGGATTATAATGTGGTCTCAGTACTTTAATGCAGCATACAGCTTCCTTAGACCTCACAATGCTTTGTTCAGGCATCGCTTAAAATCAGTTTAATGTTTATTTCACATTCAATTTATTTGCCTTTTTACTTTGAGTTCTGGTCACACAGACCATATTAACAATCATAGGAATGTGCCATACTAATTTTCAATTCAAAAGTGCATTTAAAATGTGATAAGCTATCAGATTGTTATGACTCAGATGTAAAGCAGGGTGCAACTGGAAGAACTTAGGAATGTTTATCTGATAATACCACGGGTTTATAGCTTATGTGCCAGGCAGAGTTGTATATGTCTTACGTTCATTATCTCATTTAATTCTTCAAATGACTCTATGAGGTATATATTGTTATTATCTATATTTTATTTGTAAATACACTGAATAAGCATTATAGTTCAGCAAGTAATATGTGAAGACAATACGCTGAGTGTTCCGTGACTTAATCTAACAAAAAAAAATGTGAAGTAGGCTGTATTTTTATCCTAGTTTCATGAGGTGAAGAGAATGAAGTGGCAGGTCCTGGCTCAGAGAGGTTAAGTGTCTTTCTGAATATACAACAGAGCTTAGATTTTGGAAGATGCTGATTTGAAAGCTCTGGTCTCAACCACTATAGCAATTGTCACTTAATCTGACACTTCTAGGTGGACAATTTTCAGACCACTCGGAACAGGGTAAAAACTACATTATTGATTTACACAAGAGGCGTTATAACTTCTTATAACTATTTTCCCATTAAATCAAAATTATTGCAGTCAGAAAGTTTACACCCCACCACACCCCACCAAATTTTGCAGTTAGTATTTAATATTCTGACACAATTTTCTTTCAGATTAAAGATTCTCTGACCCTTTCCCTGTCCTCATA